GGGGTGGGGGGGGGGGGGGGGGTAATACACACACACACACATGCGCTCTGATTGGAGATTTACAGATAAGCCTTTGCATTTTTACCTCATGCTCTGAGCCGCGTGCGTGTATTGAATATGCTCAGATGTTGTCGGGTCGCTCACGATCCGCTCTGCTGTTGTAGCGTGCTCTACTTACCCCACGTCTCCAGTAATTACCCTTATGGGATTGCACACATGTGTTACCATGGCAACTTTGAACTTTGACCCCACGAGCAGAGCAGTAAAATCAGGGTGTGGTGGTGATGGTTATTGCGATAGACAATAGAGCGAGTGCACAAGGCTCAGCTGGTATAGAGTCAAGAAAGTGTTTTTTTTTTAAGTTTGCCTCAAAGTAAAGTCCACATGAAATCAAAATTATTGCAGTTTACTTCGTGCACGTTGCTAGTCATGTGGTGAACAAATAATCTGTGCAGGGTAATGGAAAAAAGTTTGTCTTGGTAATCTTTAATCAAAATCTGAAAATTTGCTTCCGCTCTGGAATGGCGTTTTTTCTGACGTCAGCTTGATGGTGTGGGCGGAGTACCCCTAGCCACGCCCCTCTAACCGCGAGAGAGGAGGCGCACTAAAATAAACCCCGCCCTCTATTCAATATTCAGTTTCAGTTGGAAATACGTCACGATACTGAAAGAAAGTAGAAGCTACTTCCAGATCACGCGAGAGTAGGAATCGCGGTTCAGTGTTATGTCTGTCCGTCAACGCTACTGGCGTAAAATTATTTCTGGTTTTATTTTGATGTGGTCAGTGACTGAATGCTTACGCAAGTATACAAGTGCAGCATTAAAGGGTTAGTTCACCCAAAAATGAAAATTAGCCCATAAATTACTCACCCTCAACACACAAGACACTTTATTTTTATGGATGGACGCTTTTTATTTAACTTCTTTTGGACTGATGCATGCAACTAAACTAAACTAAACTAAGTAATTTATGGGCTAATTTAAATTTTTGGGTGAACTAACCCTTTAATGTGCTCTGTTTTCGGTTCTCTAGAAAGGGATAGAGTTTCCTTCAGGTGTCTGTCGTTAAATTTAATGTTGTTAATCAAATAGCTAGATATGTAAAGGTCAAGAAAACGGGCTGTAGAAGACATTCCCCCTGCTTTAGTGCAGTGTTTTCCAGTGTGCTTGAGTTGAGTTTGTTCCCTTTTTAGAGTGCTTGCTTTTTAGTGACCTTTTTTTTTTTGAGTGTGTTGAGCAATGTGTTTTTCATTTTCTTAGTCTTTTTTTTTTTTTTTTTTAGTACCTCATTGAGTGAGTCACACACTCACATACACACACACACACACACACACTCACACACACACAGGAAGTATAAACTGCAGACATACAGTCAGACGCATGGCACAAACAGACACATGAAGTAGCCGAGAGCTTTGAAACACTCGTTCACAAATCATCTCGTCTTTCCGTCCTTCACTGAGCTCCTCCTCCTTCAGCTGCACCATCTGTTCACTTTCTTGTCCTTCTCTTGCCTGATCACTCCATTCTGCTGTTCTCCTTTCACTGGAAGTTACAGGTCAGTAAGTTTGAGGGAATCATAGTTTCTACTCTCAGAAGATCTGCGAGTTCTTCCAGTGAGACGTGGCTCAGTAAAGTGTGTGTGTGTGTGTGTGTGTGTGTGTGTGTGTTGGCAGCGAGCGGCTCAGTCCTTAAGGAAATGAGGCACATGACGGGGTGGTGGAGGGCTTCTCTGTGACTCATTGTCTCTCTCGGCTCTAGTCGTCTGTTTCACACACATGGACTCCAGATGTTTCTGTCTTCATTCTCTGGACGGCCTTTAGATCTGAGCTGATCCTCAAATATCAGCAGAAAAAACATACTCAGACTTTGAAAGCAGAATCTGGGCTGAATCTCAAGAACACATCCAGCTCGTATTTCAGCCCAAAACCCAGAGAGAGAAGCTGTATTTTGAACAACGTAAATCATTTCAGACCATGAACACTTTTTCCATTGTGACATTGTTTTTCATTTGTGTGATGCAAAAAAAAATGGATAAAACATCTGCTAAATTAATAAATGTGATTTAATCATTTGTACAGATTTTAACTTGAAAATCTTTGGATTTATTACTGTAATGCGCAGTGTGGGGATTTTTTTGCATTACAGCAATCCGAGTCGCCATTAAGAGCAAAGCAGAAAAGGCTCTGGAGTATTACAGTAATGAGAATTTTGAAAGCGGGGGGGGGGGGGGGGGGGGGGGGGGGGGGGGGGGGGGGGGGGGGGGGGGGGGGGGGGGGGGGGGGGGGGGGAGAAAATCACCACGGTCCTATAAATAGGCTAGCACACTATGATTTGTTTCTTCTTTCGGTTGTTGCAGTGCATTGTGGTCCGGCCGTGTTTTCATGAGATTGGCTGTGCAAGCATCAAGCATCAGCACTGCAGATGATTCCAGTGTGCTTCTGTCTGTGGCGGCGCAGTGCGCACTGATAAGTGTTCCCTCAGGGGACTGTACTGTAGGAGGGACATTAGTTCCAGCTGGGATCTGCACGGAGCTCAAAGAGCGTGTTTATCAAGAGAAGATGAAAAGAGACGCAGCAGCAGAGCAGAAATAACCCGTGATTCTCTTCAGAACCATCCTAAACTCCATTACTCTCCTGACATCAGAGCGGTCTCCACTCGCCGGCTGGTTTCTCCTATCATGTGTTGTGCAAGCGTCCAGATCGGCTCGTCTCATCTGCTATAAATATTAACTACGGCGGATCTTTTGGACTCTAATAAGTAACCGTTAAAGTCCTGTAGTAAAATCACAGCGGTACGGAGTCGTCTCCATTTGTCCCTCGTGTCGTGATTATCCTCTTGTTTTAATGTGTAAACAATAGCTGGGCTTGAACCCTGACAGAGCGGCGAGGCGCTAATCTCATTATACAGCACTACAGACCAATTAAACGTGCAGCCCAATTAGAGGCGGCGCTACAGATCTCTCAGACACAAACACTGAGAGACACGGATCACACGCATCCTTCATGTGAACGCAATCCCATAATGCACTGCTCTAAGCTTAGTGAACAGTAGGGTTGCAAAGGGGTGGAATATTTCCGGAAACTTTCCCAAAATTCCCGGAAGATTCCCAAAAAATCCTGGAATGTTTCTGAAATTT